AAGGAACAATGGAGTTAAGCTAATCCTTAGCATCATAAGCTAATCTCAGAGTGTTAACATTTCAATAGGTGTGAAAGCAGGAACTCTGTGTTGAGTTCATCTGCGTGCACCATAGTGAGAGAGTCAGGCCTTTGGAGTCGTGAGGCCTGGGTCTGAGCCCTGACCTGTGGCCCACTGTCCTCCCACCAGGCAGGATGAGGCTCCCTCGTGGGGCAGCTGTGAGGGGGTGTGGGGGTGGTCAGGGCACAGCGCGGTGGCACCGTTTGTCTGCGGTCTCACAGCCACTCCAGTGTCCCTTCTCAGGGGACTCTGGGGAGTTTTACTTCTGTGCATCTCCCGCCCTGAAAGGCACAGGACGTGGGTTTTGGCTTTCCTACTTGTCTGAGCAGAAACGCCACCAGTTTACCCCAGGGAGCAGATCCCAACACTGCCACACCACTTCTATGGTCTCTGATCCAGCTGGTCTGCCTGGAGCCCGGTGCCACAGGCGACATTCAAGGACAGAGGTCCGTGAGTCTCTCAATCCTTGCGAATAGAGGTGTCTTATTGGCTCTGAACCCTTTGCGGACCAGCACACAGACAAAGGGGAGAGGGAGGAATTCTGAGTGTGTGTGAATGGGAAGAACACTCTGGAAGGCAGGGAAACAATGTCAGAACAAGAAAAGGGGTTTCTATGGGAGAGAGAAGGTACAGTATGATGAGGACCATGATGAGGCCACAGAACTGGATGACAGGGAGGGTCCTGATGGCCGGAAGGGACTGAAGCCACACCACTGTGATCTGAGGAGGACAGGAGGGGCCAGGAGGATGACCCACAGACAGTGTCCCAGCACTAGGAGTCGAGAGAGACCAGTGCCCGCCAGTAACCGTGAATCCCCGGTGAGAAACATTTCCCTTCTCCATCCCTTCCATTCCACCTCTGCACCTCTGTCTCACAGCGGTGGGCCCCCCGTGCCCCTTCCCTGCTGGCTGATCTTCCCTTTGGAATAGAGAGTGGGCCCCAGGCTTACAGACGTCCACAGGCAGCAGCTAAATTTGGATGACCCTGTTTTGTTTTCATTGCATTTAGTATGGTTTTCTTCGAGAGAGAGAGAGAGAGAGAGAGAGAACTTGTGACCGAGGAGGGGGAGGGGCAGAGGGAGAGAGAGACCCTGAAGCAGGTGCCACACCCAGCACGGAGCCCAACACGGGGCTCAGTCTCACAAGCCTGAGATCATGACTTGAGCTGAAATCAAGAGCCAGATGCTTAACCCACGGAGCCACGCAGGCACCCCTACGATGGTTATCTTCCATGTCTCATGAATGATACTATTTTTCCCATTTACTATTGTACTAAGAAATTTCCTCATAGATTAATTAACTGAAGTAAAACTGAGTCTATTGAAGGAATCAAGATGGATCAAATAGCAGACTACAGGTGGTATGTGGATATGGCAAAAATTATTAAGATAGCACATTGTGGTGCAGGGCCGGGGCACAAAGAATGATCCACAAAGGAGCGAAGTGAGCAAAGGCTCTGGTGGAGGGGGAGCCCTGGAGTCCAAGCCGAGGGGTTGGCATGGCTCCTTCCAGACAGGCCAGGACAGAGGGCCTGGTCGTCTGGCCTCACAGCTTGCCGTGGGAGCTGACCAGGAGGGCTGTCTTTGCAAAACTGCCTGATGGGATGCCAACCCGAATGCATTACCAGTCCCTGTCATTTAGGGTCTGAACTTACACCACTTGGGGTTTTAAGTAGCTGCTCATTTCTAACGTGATAATATGAACAACCTGAAACAAAGTAGCCCAAACACCAACGTTGTGGTCACTCGTCCTGGTCCCCGGGTCCAAGGGAGGCCCAATGGGACGGCATCAGCGCCCCCAGCCTGTTCCTGGACATCCTGGTTTGGTGACCTTCCTTCCAGGCCTCAAGCTGCTAGAGGACAAACAGCCAACCATCTCTGTGATGTCATGGAGGTGAGCAGGAAGTGTTCAACAGGAGAGATAGGCCAACAGTCACTGTGATGTCATGGAGGTGAGCAGGAAGCACCAGCCCCGTGCCCCTCCCTGGTGAGGAGAAAGAGAGGGGAGATTGCGACCGAATCAAAGGAAATCAGCTCAGCGGTAACACTGTGCAGACACAAACAGAATGAGGGATAAGTCTCTCTTCCTTTTTCCTTCTTGACCCCATAAAGAAAATAAAACACACATGTGGGGAATGTAAACTAGCATGTGCTGTTCCCAAGTAGACTGCATTCAAATTAAGGATGAAAATCTAATGCTTTTCAGGGCTGGTATTGAAAAATTTATGATGTTCTGAAGACAAGATGTTTATCATTCATTTTCTCCCTCATTTCCCCCAGGAGAATCCAATCACTGGTTATTGCTCTGTGTTCCCTCTGCAGAGTCCCAGTGTCTCCACCAGAGACAAAAAAACGGTTAAAACAACAGGCGGCCTGTGGGGTTTGCCTTTAATTAGTCAGTCTAGGAGGCAGGAATTAACTTACAATTTGACCAAAACTAAAGCTCGAGTTTAATTGAATCCACATTATGTCCGCTTGCTTGCTTTCTTGTTGGCCTTCTCTTGGTTTCTGCTTTCATCTCTTCTTGACCCCTGACTTTTGGCTTCCAGTTTGAGAGTGGTTTCTCTCAGAAACTTTAGAAAAATGAATATAGGGCAAATATATGGTTGCTTCTGGAACATTCCCCAAGTCTGGTCCCAAAGAGTCCTGGCCAGGCCCTGGCCTTTCATGATCCCCCTCCAGGACCCCAGGCTCCATGAAGGCAGGCTCCATGAGGACAGGATCCATGAGGACAGGCTCCATGAGGCCAGCTCCATGAGGACAGGCTCCATGATGCCAGCTCCATGAGGGCAGGCTCCATGAGGACAGATTTCATGAGGACAGATTCCATGAGGGCAGGCTCCATGAGGGCAGCTCCATGAGGGCAGGCTCCATGAGGGGCAGGCTCCATGAGGCCAGCTCCATGCGGACAGGCTCCATGACGCCAGCTCCATGAGGGCAGGCTCCATGAGGACAGATTTCATGAGGACAGATTCCATGAGGGCAGGCTCCAGGAGGACAGGCTCCATGAGAGCAGCTCCATGAGGGCAGGCTCCATGAGGGGCAGGCTCCATGAGGCCAGCTCCATGAGGACAGGCTCCATGACACCAGCTCCATGAGGGCAGGCTCCATGAGGACAGATTTCATGAGGACAGATTCCATAAGGTCAGGCTCCAGGAGGACAGGCTCCATGAGGCCAGCTCCATGAGGACAAGCTCCATGACGCCAGCTCCATGAGGGCAGGCTCCATGAGGGCAGATTCCATGAGGACAGATTTCATGAGGACAGATTCCATGAGGGCAGGCTCCAGGAGGACAGGCTTCATGAGGGTAGGCTCCAGGAGGACAGGCTCCATGAGGGGCAGGCTCCATGAGGCCAGCTCCCACACAGCCGTGGAGCATGGGGCCCAGCTGGTGACTTTGTTCTTCCATGCTCACTGGCTCTGGAAAGGGAACAGCTGATTCATTTCCAATTCAGATGTTAGAATGTCCAGACTTTCCAGGAATTTGGGGTCTGCAAATGCAGATGAAGAATCAGCAATAGAAGGTGGACAATTACAGAAAAACCCATCTTCATCAGTGGTGACATAATAATGAATAGTATAATAATGAACCTGGTGATGATAGAATCTCCTAATTATTAAGCTCACCTAGAGCCAAGCACTGTGGCGGGCACTTGGCTTACTGACTCCCCAGTCTTCCCACGTTCCCGCCATATGTGAATATCCTCATTTTACAGATGAGGTGGTTGGGGCTTAGAGAAGTGGGTGATGTCACTCAGGCAGGCAGGTGTTAAGGATGGAGAGTAGATTGGGGGCAGAGAGGGCAAGGAGAGGGGCTCTGGGTATAGGAAGCTGAAAGTGGTCCTTGTGTTAATCCATTGGTTCCACTCTTTGAGAACCTGGCCCCATAAGCCCCACAGATAAGGGGACAGGGATGTTTTGCTGAGCGAAAAGGATGGAGGGAGCTTCCCAATGTCCTTGCACAGAAATGGGGATGAGAGTCTCTTCCTGCTAAGTCCCTTTGGAAGAAGCAGATTTCAGAGGGTACTTTAGGAATGGCTGAAGTCACTGGGACAAAGAGTTGCTCCACCCCTGGAATGGATGTAAGGGAGGTTTGCATTCTTGTCTCTGGAAGTGTAGACCAGAGAGGAGCTATCTGGGTGCCAGGGACTGGATGAGGCCACCCGTCAGCTGTCAGAGTCACTCTGAGCTCTCTGGTCCCGCCTGAAGTCTAACCAAGCTGGGAGCAAGATTCTGGAAGGAAGAAGGACTTTTGCAAGTCAAGCTCAGTGCCACCCTGGCTCAGGGCTGGACAAGGAGCAACCACAGGGCCCATTGCCATTGCCAGGTGGTGGGCACTGGAGGACGGGTGGACGCAGGGCATGCAGCCATGCAGAAGAGAGGGCTGTGTCATGAGAAAATAGACAGGTTAAATAACTTGCTTCAAAGCCAATCTCAAGACAACTGCTCATTTCCACTACACCAAGACCCTGTTTTCTTTTTTTCCCTTTTTGGTTAACCCCAACTGCCCCTGATGAGCCCCCTTCCCTAGCAAGCTCCAGCAGCCAGAGGACAGGGAGCTTCCTTCACTCAGGATCCATAGCAGCGTCACGGTGCTTGCGGTCCCCAGCTCCCGGGAGACAGGTCATCTGCTGCCCTCGGCTCATCTAGCCACCTTTCATGTCGCAAGAGTGGGCCTCTTGTCTGCCCTCCTGTCCAGCTCTTACTCAGTCAAAACGCATTCTGCTGTGCCAAGGTGTACGTGTGTCCCTGTGGCTGGTGACGGTCTACGGAAAGATGCGTTTAGAGTGACTTCTAAGTGGCTTTAAGGCTTGCTGCAGCATGGAAGACCAGCTTTCATCGTTAGAGGTGGGTCTGCAGGGCGACACACGGTGCCTGTTCCACCCCCGCTAAACACCACATTGGCATCAAAATCAAGGATGCAAAAGTGTGATGATGAAGTTCACAAAGGAGGGAATGGGCAACTCGATGCTGAGTTGTATGTCAGGATCCCAAACTCCCAGATCCAAACGAACATCAAATGCACTCACCGCTCCAGAAGGTTCCGCAGCCTGCCCCATGCAGCAGAAAAAGTGCTCAGCAGATCTTCTGGAGCCAGGGATCACCTTGACCTCCTTCCCGCCTGCCCATTCCATCTTGACTCTTTTTTTCTACCTATCCATCCCAGACCTTGCTGTGGTCAGAGGTCGCTGAATTAAAATTGTGCACAACAAAAGCTTTGCTGATGTATCAGAATTTCTAGGGTGACCTAATTCCCTGTGTCTGTTTTTCACGACTTTTCTATTTCTTCCCCCCTCTCTTGTTTATAAGAGCAAATCACTGGACTGAGATCAAGCAGTTCATGGTGCCAAAAAACCAGAGAAGCTGCCGAGGCTCCAAGGGTGATGCAGAAAGGCCTCCCCACGCCAGCATCACCCCACTGAGCAGAGGCCTTGCACTCAGCTCCACGGGACCCCTGGGGTCGGTCCCGCACCTGGGCTCAGCAGGGCTCGCAGCTCAGGTGCACGACAACCACCAGCCTGGGGCTCCCTCAGCAAACTGCCCTCAGCTCTAGTGGGGGGCCTCGCTTTTATCTTCAGGTGAGGGGCAAGGGCCGAGGTGCAGGTGACTCGCACTGGTGTTCTATAGAAGAAGGAGAAAGTGTTGGGGGGGTGGGACGCTAGCCAGAATAACACTTCTTGCCTGTTCTTCCCTCTTTTGAATGCTTTCCTATTTTGTGCTCTGTTTCTTGCCCCTCCCTATCCTGGAAGGGAAGAAGGCCCCCCGTGTGTTTTTGTGTGGCAGTTCGCAGAGGCCAGGAATTTGGGGTGGATGGGAGCTCCCGAGACTTACAGCCTGGCGTGTCAGTTCTCACCACCGAAACTCCAGGGTTCCCGTGAACTTGATGTGGTGGGATTACCTCCCCCACCCTGAGTGCAGAAAATGAGAAAAATGCTATGGAAGCCTGCCCAAGATCACTGAGCTAATACATGGAGAAGCCCTGATAGAAACATAGATTTTTCTGAATCTAAGTCTAAAAAGAAGTTACCCATATATCAAAAAGTTTAAATTGCAGTATTCGGTCTTTCAATCGTACGTAAGTGGTGGGATTATTTGAAAGAACCTGACGGTGACTCCTGTGTGACCCATATTTAACCTGCTTGATCGACCCAGGTGCTCCTTTGCGCATTCCTTAAAGTGAAGCCCCTTGCATGGGGTTAGCTCCTACGGACTCAGGAATGAAAGTCCTGACCAAGCACCTAGAGATTCTAGGTGCTTCCAGCCCATCAGCTCATTTAATGGATACCCTCATCACCCTCCCCATCATCGTCATCACTTACCCCCTGTCTGACGCTGTCTGACGCTGGGGACAAAGAGGCACAGAGCCATAATTCACCAGCCAGAGACCCCCCCCAGAGGTAGTGTTGGTTCAAACCCAGGAACTCTGGTCCATAGTCTCTGCATTTCACTGCTTTGCTCTCTTCTTTGTCTCTTTCTAGGCAGCCCTCACTTCTCTCAATGTTTCCATGGTGGGGAGGGGCACAGATTCAATTGTGCAGATGACCCAACCATGCTGGCTTACCCTCCTGGGCGCTGTAGCTGGGCTCAGCTCATTGCAGACTCATTGTCAAGAAGCCTCATACAGGTATTTAGGATGGCCCAAGAGAGAAGGAATATTTGGAAGTAAATCCCTTTATATCTGCTCCCCAAATTTTAAGTTGCAGGTCTGAAGGGGTCTGGAGGCCGCATTTCTCACAAGTGGCCAGGTGATACAGAAGTCTCTAGTCTGAACACCATGCTTTGAGCAGCATGGCTCGAGACCACAGTTTTCCAGACTAGATTCCAGGGGTTTCCTGAAGATGCCTCGGGAGAGGGCCTGGGATTGTGTGAAGGGTTTTGAGTAAGATTTCCTTTGGAAAAGGGGTTTTCATGCTTTGAAAAAAAAGTTTGAAAACCACAGCCCTAAACTTAATATCCCATACATTTGGAGATACTTACTAGAATGTGTGGTAAGAAATTTCTGTCCCAAAGATCATTTTTTTACAGACTTTGCTGACTCAGGGGAATCAGCAGCCATGTTTGGACAGCCGGCCTCACAGTGACCTCTCTGCTACCTAATGGAAAATGTTGAAGGTACTCTACTTCGAAATAATTATATTTACATAGCCTCTGTGGTCTCTCTCTCTCTCTTTCATAGATGCCTGTAGGAGAAAAGGATACTCACTTCTGGAATTCATCAGCTCCAGCTATTTATTTCCATTTGAGGCCAGAAACTTATTTTTTTTCCCTGTGGTTAAGTTTCTTATGGGAGAGGGGGAAGGAAGGCCTCTAACATGTAATTATCAGAAATTGTTCCCCTTTGCTGAAAAATCACTCAATCTGTCCCAAATTTTGACTGAGAGTTCCCCACCAGACCAGAAGAGAAGAGATATGGGGGCTACTGAGCTGGAAGGACCTTAATAGAATCCAATGTCTTCTACCATCTCCAGCTGCATTCTCCAAGTAAAGGGTTCCATGACCAAATAAGTCAGGGCAATGCTGGGCTAAATGAATTTGTCTACTGTAGGATTTCTTAGAGTCTTATGTAAGCTAATAAGGTTGTAATGCTCCACAAGGCAACAACAGTCTGCAGGGTTGGAGCGCCTGGGTGGCTCAGTCGGTAAAGTGTCTGACCTGGTTTCTGCTCAGGTCATGATCTCATGGGTTGTGAGAACCAGCCCCACTTTACACTCGCGCTCAGCGGGAGTCTGCTTGGATGTTCTCTCCCTCTCCCCCTGCCCCTTTCCCTGCTTGCGCACGCACTCTCTCTCTCTCTCTCTAAGATATAGATAGATGATAGATAGATAGATAGATAGATAGATAGATAGATAGATAGATAGATAGATAGATAGATAGATAGATAGATAGAGATAGATGATAGATAGATAGATGATAGACGGATAAAATAGTCTGCAGTATTGCTCAAATTTCCTTGAGCACAGAGCCTGCTTTTCATTGAACATCTCAAGGATCACTTAGAATTCCATGGATCCCAGTTTCTGGGACCAGTTGAGAGAGCCCCAGCTTTAGAGACTCTAATGAAATCCCTAAAGCTGGAGGACATCTGCCCTTGCAGTCTGGTTCTCAGCAAGAGCAGACACCAAGACCTTTCACATCTGGAATTACAATTCTGGGGAGTTCCTGCCTAAGACTCTGGGCCAGCCCTGGGAGGGTGATGTCAGAGGCTGAGACCAGAGGGCCACCCCAATGGCCGAGGGCTGCTTCTGCAAGGCCAGGGCTGGGTTTCTTTCCCCCTTTGCATCTCCAGGGTGGCCGGCAGAGAGCCATCTGTAAATGCGGATGGGGCCGGATGTGAGTGGATCACAGCAAGATGGCGCAGAGGGCATGAAGGAGGAGGTACCCAAGCCAGCAGACATGCACAGTTCCCGGGAGGCCAGGGAGAGAGGGAGAGAGGCCTCTGAGTATGGGAGTTGAGACCCTGGAGAACGCACGGAAGGTTTCAGGTGGGAAGGCTTCAGGTGGGCCTGGTCCCGCACAGTGGGAAATCAGCAAGTCACTAAGATCCCATTCAGGCCAAGGTTGGGCAGGGCCCTGTTTTGCATCTAGTCCCCTTCCACTGCCCTGGGCTTCAGCTTACTCATTTCTCAAATGGGGGGGTGGGCGGTGATGGTTCTAAAGACCTTCCCGGGCTGGCACGTCCCCAAATCTGATGGTACATAGGAAGCAAGCTGGGTGAGCCTGGGGGTACACAAACAATTTTTTATTTTTATAGTTATGTTTTTGTTTTAATGTTTATTAGAAAAAAATGTGAACTAGAACCTCAAGCCCATGCTCTGCCCAGCATTCCTACATCGGTGGAGGCTGAAGCAGGGAGCCCCAGGGCCTCCAGTGCTTGCTCAGCTCCTGTATTCTATACATATGGGAACAGATGTGACAAAAATGAGAGCAGGCAAAGGGAACTGTAGTTATGGATGCCCAGGAAAATTCAGATTTCCCTCCAGGAAGAAGGCCTCCTGACTACGGGAGGGAGCTGGTCCCTGGGGCCGGGAAGGTGTGACCGTGAGGTGACAGGCTCAGCATGCACCCCTGTCCCCCCAAACCCTCTCCAGCCAGCAACCAGGGGAGGGCTGAGCTCAAAACAGCCTTAACAAAGGACTTCACTCGTCTGCTCTCCTGAGTCTTTGGAACCCAGATTCCAAGTCATAGACTGCATCTCTCCCAGCTATGCCGCAGGTCCCCGGGAGTGACAGACGCCTGAGGATGTCTAACAACATCTGCAGATGAAAACAAAATGCCAGAATGTGCGCCGTTTCCTGTCCGTCCAGCTGCCTTGCAATCTTTGGATTCCAAGACCCGGATTCAGTTCACAGGATGAGATTATCTTAATTCGCACTGCTTCCAAGTCCACCTTGTGAAGCTGTATTTAAACTAAAAGGTAAGACAGTGCTCGTTCAGTTAACTCAAAATAGGTCTCCGGTTGACCCTTTAACGCTGCAGTTTAATGTGACACAGGGCTCTCTGCAAAGCAAATGGCTAGGCTTAAATAATGTAAAATTTTCTATTTTCTGACTATGGTTCCAACCTGGCTTCAGCAGGAGTCTCTGCCCATTCATCACTCTCCTTCAGGGAGTAATAATAGCCACTGGGATTTAGTGGGGGCCTGTTATACGGGGGGCACTATTCTAGGAACTTGACACTTACTAACTCATTTAACCCCATGAGCCAGGGAGGGTTATTATTCCCATTTTAAAGATGAGGAGAGTAAAGCACGGAGAGGCTAGCACCCAGGGTCACATGGCCAGTAAATCACAGAGCAGGGATTTTGAACCCTCAACGGGAAGATGGCCTCCCTAGAGAAAAGCTTCGAGACCTACATCCTTTCCAGTTACAGGCTCCAACAAAACAAAACAAAAACCAAACACCAGTGCATTTCCAGTCAGTAATTTTCACTGTGGGTTGAGGAGACCGAAAGCTTCCTCTAGAACAACAGGAGAATCTAAGAATCTAGAAGACTCTCCAGGTAACTGGGTTTCAAAATGTGAATGCAGGCCAGAAAAAACCCTGAGCCCAGCACCAGCTCTGCAGTTCAAGCTACCCAGTGGGGAGAGGCCGGGAGAGAAAGAAGGGGGAGACGGGGAGTTGAGAACCCCTTCTGGAACCTTCATCCCAGGGTTTGGTGCAGAGGAGAAAGCCCATTCTGTTCTTCCATGGGGAGCATCCCGGAAACCCTGAATGGGTACAGGGGATTCGGTGGGAAGCTGATCTGACCTGCTGTTTATCAGCCCTGCTTATCAGGGGGGAACAGAGACCAGTTTCGTACAGATTGGCAAATGATGTACTGTTAGCCACCTGGTCTTGGACCTGGAATCCAGGTGGGCCCTGGGGGCCACACTCAGCATGCTGGTATCTGTCTGGTCGGCAGCGCGTGGGTCCGTGTGGGTCGATGTGCAGTTTTCTGCGCCCCCCTGGCCCCGTGTAGTACCTGGTTGCTACGCCATCAGTGATGTTCCTGGCCAGGAAAAAACCCTCTAGACAAGACAAAGTAGGCTGACAGCCTGTCCCTTAGGCCATGAGAGCTGGTAAAAGGCCAAGCAGACCAGCCAATGCAGCCATGAACAAGGGACTTCTCCAGACCTTGAAGGATAAAGCTCCTAGGCTCTTGGGGGCTCAGCCACTGGCCTCTTCTAGCCACACCCACTCCTCCCAAGCTAATTATAGCCACGCCCACTCCCCCAGGCTCATTCTAGCCATGCCCACTCCCCCCACAGGCTCATTCTAGCCACGCCCACCCCACTGGCTCATTCTAGCCACGCCCACTCCCCCCCACAGGCTCGTTCTAGCCACGCCCACTCCCCTGAGAACCGTGCTCTACCATCTCTTTCTCTTGGTGATCCCAGCCTTCCATCTCCAGCCTGCACCTCCCTTCTAAACTCCTGATGGCACATACAACTGCCCACCTGACTTGGGAATTAACGCGTATCCCAAATTTCACTCTGATTGTCTCCACACCAGACCTACTCTTACCTTGGCTAATGCCAACTCCATCCTCCCAGGTACTCAGGCCAACAACTCTGGAAGTTATCCTTGATTTCTTTTTGTTTCTCACCCCTCACACCGCACGTTCTGTAGGTTGTCCACTCAAAACATACTCACTCACTCCCCAGCCCGTGTCTCGATCAAGACCCCTGCTTCCCACTTGGGTTGTTGCCCTGGCCTCTGCACAGTCTCCCGGCCTCTCCCCTTGCTTCCCACTTTGCAGGGCATCCCCCAGCAGCCGAGCGAGCCCTTGCCATGTGAGTCGCAGGCCATGGCCCTCCTCTGCTCAGAGCCCTCCAAGATCCCACCTTGCTCAGAGCTTGGGGCCCCTGACTTGGCCCTGCTGCTCCTCTGTCCTCCTGTCCTGTTGCACTCCCCTCCTCCCCAAAGCCCGCAGCCACTCCGGCCCCATGCCCGTCCCAGAGGGCCCTTGTCCTTCTTGGGAGCGTGCTTCCCTGATACCTGAATGACTTGCTTCCTCACCTCCAAATTCTTCTAATTGCCACCCTCCCAATGAGGCCTTCTGGGGTCACTCTATTTATAACAACAGCTGCCACCCAGCCCCATGACATTTCCTCCCTCCCTTTCCTGATTCCTTTCCTCCATAACGGTTTCCCCTTCTAATAAACCACAGTCTACTTATATGCATTCACTGTCTGCTCCCTTCCCTGGGAGGCTGGGACCACGGGAGCAGGACTTTCACCCGCGTTGGTTGCTATATCTGGGCACCCAACGCCAGGCACCCAGTAGGTGCTGATGCCAGTTTGTTACCCGAAAGCCCTGCCTATCTGCAGCATAATGAAGGAAAGCGCTCTTCAAGCAGAGGAGATTCTCATTGCTACGATTTACAATCCTTAAACTGAAGACCTTCAGCTGTCCGGCCTCCAGTGTTGCCCACATCCTCAGGGAGCTCACTCAGTCACAGCTTTCTAGATCTCAGCCATAAAGGGTGGGAGGAAGGCGGGCCCTGGGGACATCTGAGCTGTGATACAGAGACTTTGTCCTCTTCTTGCTGGGACCCTAAGGAAGCCCCGAAGCCAGGAGCCGGCCCGAGAGGCAGGCAGATAACAGGAGTGGCTGGAGGTTTGCTAACCATGGGCTGGCAGGTGACAGGCTGGGACGCTAAGTTCAGGCAGACAGAGAAGGAGCCCGTGGCCTCACCCAGACACAGAGAAGGCAGGACCCTCTGGTGCTGTGTGTGTCTCTCCGCCAAACTGCAAACTTCTGGAGGGCAGGGCCTGGCCTCGGCCCATCCTCTCTGCCCAGGGGCTGCCTCAGAACTTGGTACATAGTAGGTATTCGTTAGATGCTTTTGAGGTAAGCTAAGCATTCGCCAAATGACCTCTGGGTACATTGCCTTTGTTAGCATATTCCTAACATGGGCAAAACCTCTGTAGAGGTGCATGTGTGGAAGCTGTGGGTCCCCCCCAGTTTTGCCTCCTGGTTGGTTTCTTGGGATCGACCAGTTCCCTTTGAGGTAAGGCAGCTGTGTCTGCTCCAGGATATTTCAGAGTGGCCTCACCTCTCCACCCACCCTGGGTTATCCACGGGACCCACCCTGAAAGCCAGAAACACAGTGGAGCCCTGCCTGGCCCCGAGAGAAAGAATGACATTGCTGCAAGCCATTGAGAGAAAGGAGCTTGGAAGGTCAGACCGTGCACAATCATCTCATACATTTCCCTCCTTCTGCTCATCTAAGAGGACACAAGGAAAAGGGCTGGATTCACCCGATTTCCCTACACCCATGCCCTAATGGTGGGATTCTGGTTGCATCTTCTCTCCCTCCCATGGAAATGCTGTCTCCTTTACAGCTCCCTTGCAGCTTTCCCTCTCCCTGATGGTTTGCAGCGTTGACGGGGTAGGAATCAAATCTGAGGCTTGAAGCCTGGGAGATTTCCCACCAGTGTGCTCACGCCTTTGCAGGGGATCAAAACTGTGCCCTACCTGCTCTGTATAAACCAGGACAACCCCCAAGTCCCTCCCAGCCTTTCAGATCTCCTATCCTTGAGTTCTCCAGGCAACTTTCACCACCAAAGGGAGGCCAACACACCAAGAGACCTGTCCCCAGCTTGGAATCCCAGAGACCCCCAAAGCGGTGATGAACGGCTCCATTTTGCGTGACAGCTAATTCGCTGGCGGATCAGTGGAAAACTCAGCGACATTGTGAGTAAGGAAGTTGGAATGTCGGTCTTTGCTGGGATTTAATATGACAGATTTCTGGCTCTGAACTTGGACAAGATTAACTCTTCATTCTGAAGGAAAGAAAGAAGAAGAGGAAGAAGAAGAAGAAAAAAAAAAAACCGCCTCTCTGAAATCGCAGTTTAGTGGAACAATGTGCAGCTTTGAAAGTGTTGCAGGCGGTCAGATTTGCGCATTCCCTTTTTCCGGGGCTGCATATTTTCTGTGTCTGATAAAATGTTTGTTACACCTCCTCTGTGCCAGGGACACATACAGTAAATTGTCAGCTCGAACCATGTAATCTCTTAACCAGAAGGCTCCAAACATCTGTTGGCCAGTTGTCGAATGGTTGGATCATTAACATGGCTTCTAATTTTACTCTTTGAATTTAACATAAAAAGTTTTAATGAGCGTATGTAATTCATACTTTCCAACTTCAGAGAGTCCTGAAAGAGAAACCTATGCTTTTATAATCCAAGTCTCTGACGTAGACAGCTTTATTTTTAATTCCCATCCCCCCCACCCCCGCCCGTACACAAATGCATTATAAAAGAGGTCAATTGGACATTATCTTCCTTTCCAAGACAGGCTTTCAAATATTTGTCTAGGTTTTGGTGAAGAGCCCCTTTCAACTTTGGGCTCAGATGATATGGCAGACGTGTTCATTCTGCATTTCAGCCTGAGACTTGTGTTGTGAGCCCCCCATTCATCCATCTATAAAAACAAATTGAAAATTGGCATGAGAAAGACAACCCCTGAGTCATGTTGAGAGAATTCAGTTTTAAAACTTGCCCTCACTCTCATGCCTGTTTTTACTGAAATGAGCTGGGGTTAGTAATGGTTTGTTCCTGCCAACTTAGTTCACTTTTCCCATTTCCCCCTCTCTGGGTATGCCCTCAATCTCCAGCCTAGAAAGTGACTGCATTGGATTAAATGCAATTTGGATTGACCTTTTTATTCAGAGACTTGCCTCCGTTAATATATTTTGGGCTATTTTTTAGGAACAAACTCCAAGAGGTGAGAACAGAAACATTCAGTGCAATAGCAAACGCCACGGAGAAAACGTCCCTTGAACACTGACTCACTAGGGCTGTACATTAACCAGCTCCTGGTCAGCTTCAAATGGAATCCCCCATATGAGTATTTGCCTCCTGTCTGGGGTCTTCTGTACTGAAAGCTTAATGAAGCTTTAAAGCACAAGTCCCAGAACTAAGTTTGTTAGTGTGGCTTATTAATTCCTGCTGGAAGTTCTGCCGACGTTCTGCAGATGCACATCCTTTTCTGCCAAGTGCATCTTATCTGCTCCCGCCCACGAGAATGGGACAGCAAGGCCAATGATGGATGGCCAGAGTTAACAAAGCAAACTCCCTTTGTTTGTTCCAGGAGATTAAGGGGATAGCTTCCCTTTAATTCTCTCAAGTTCATGCAAGTTCAAAAGTAGGATCCCAACACAGCATTTTATACGGAGAACCACATCTCAAATATGCAACAGCATCTCAAATACATGAGGCTGATGAACTTGACCCAAGTCAAGATAAGGTTCCTCCATTCCTCAGTAGGTATGTATTGAGCTCTGTTTTATGCTGGGCACTTTCTGCACCCCAGGAACATAGTAGTGAACAGAGAACAAAGGTGTTTACATTCTAGCACGGGGAGAAAAATGATCAGCCAATAAATGATTTGACTATAGCATTGTAATTCTATTGAAGAGGTGAAGAAAATTTTCTAGATTCTTTGGGGACTAGCGATTTACTATTTTTCTAGAATTCTTGGGAAATGTTGCCTGTCAAACATATTTCAACAGCTAGGGGCCAGTGTTGGGGCTGGTAAAGGGGTGGTGGCCCCAGCAGTGGGTTGGGTGGCAGTGGGGAGCAATCCAGAGAGAATCTAGTCCAAGGACTTCATTGTGAAGAAACAGAGGCTTGTAGTAATGGTGTGCGTGGGAGGTACCACCACCAGCCTGTGTTGCCTCACATTCTCTAAAGACTGAGGAAGGAAGATGGGGACGGTGACATGGTAAAGGGAGAATGGGGATTGGAGGGGAGGGAAGGGGGAGGAGTAGGGTGGAGAGCAGCTTGAGTGGGACCTCAGGCATGGAACCAAATCCTCCCGGTTAACTGGCTTCCATGCTCTTTAATCAGTGGGACAGGCCTGGCTTCTTTGTGGTGAGTTTCAAGGTTGATATGTGTTATTTCCATTCTTTCTCTTCCTAAGCTCTTCCCTTTGTCCCTGCCCTGTTATGGGGCAGGCTTTGGCAGGAAGAGTCCTGTGTCTGGAGCATAAATAATGCAGGGGTTGGGGCATCTGGGTGGCTCAGTCGGTTAAGTGTCTGCCTTCAGCTCAGGTCATGATCCCAGGGTCCTGGGATCGAGCCCTGAGTCAGGCTCCCTGCTCAAGGGGGAGTCTGCTTCTCCCTCTCCCTCTGCCCCTGCCCCCTGCTTGTGCTCTCTCTCTCTCTCTCAAATAAATAAATAAGTCTTTTAAAAAAATAACACAGGGTTGTCATGGTGCCTGTTTCAATGGACTACTAAAGTAAATATGAAGGCCATGCAAAACTCAGTAGCACATCAGTTACCCCAGTTACCCAGTTACCCCAGTCCCCTACCTGCTGAAATTTATTAAGCTGCATTCTTGGAACCTTTTACATTTTTAGTGGAGCACATATTTGATGGTGCTGTCTTAACCCACTGCTGCCCAGCTTGGCTTCCCAGGAGCAGAGATGAGCAGGCCATGGGGAGAAGACAGCTGTGTGGGCTCACCCTAGGAAGGTGTTGGAACTCTGCCAAGCCAGAGAGAAGGGTCCTCCTCACTCTGAACATCCACCACGCTTTCTGAATTCCTCCAAGAAGGCATTGACTGAGGTGTGAGGGATGGGGATGGGGAGGAAAGAGAAAGCCAAGGAAAGGATGATCTTGCCACATGGATGACCCACAGTCACCTCCCTCATCCTCATCCTGTCAGCCTCCTCCTCAGCCCTCAGCGTCGAGGGCGACTTAGCTTTGTTAATGGTGTCACCATGCACCTGGCTCCCCCAATCCAGTCTGTCACCCTGCCCTACCAAATCCACCTTCAACCATTCCAACCTGTGCTGTCCAATATGGTAGCCACAAGTCATGTGTGACCATTTCAATTATTAAAAATTAAATACAATAGAAGATTCAGTTCCCCAGTCACATCCAAATCCTCTCAAGTGCCCAAGAGCCACGTGTGGCCGGTGGCTACCACACAGGGCAGTGCAGACTGAGAGCCCTTTCACCTTGCAGCAGGTTCTGTTGGGCAGGAGCATCCCAGGTGCGCGCTGTCGGCACGAAGCCCGACTGTCTTGGCCATGGCTCTCCCCCTGAACCCAGGCATGGCTGCTGGAGGAAGTAACTGCCTCCCTCAGCCCGGGCCTCCATCATTTCTGGCCGAGACTAATGTCACAGCCTCCCAGACACTTCATCTTGAACCCCAGGGTCAGCCTGCTCCCCAGCACGAGTGTCCCCAGAGCACACTGCACCGGGGCTCTGGGTTCGGAGCATCCTGCCCTCCAGCCCTGCAGCACTCTTCCCTCCAAGCTCGTTCCTCCAGGCCCCACTCAGGGTCGCCCCCTCTGGCCAGGCCACGAGTCTCCCTCTGCTCTCCCCCAGTCTGTTATTTGGTGCAGGAGGAGCCACATGCGTGTTTCCCCTCCCTTCCGGCTGTGAGCCCTGCCTGGCTCGCGTGGAAAGGTTCAGGGGCTGTAGGTGGAGGGCTGACCACAAGGGAGGGACAGGATGCAGGGACGGATGGGGAACCCCATAGCCCCCTTGGCTGGGGCTCTCATCCTGATAGGTCAGTCAGCGGCACCTGAGGCGGTGGTCATCAGGCCACCTGTGGGCCTGGTGAGTGTGAGTCTCTGGATGGGACCAGCCTGGGTGATCTGAAAGTTCCCTCTGAGATTGCAGGCACCACCAGCGCTGGGAGCTTCTGGCTCTAGGCAGGAAGCAAGGTCTGCTTGCTTTCCAAGCTCCCCCCGACTTTCTGCTGAATTCAGGGGATGCCACGGCTGCCTTGTGACCGGAGATCTATGAGGAATACACATGGTGAATGTAGGTCCTTATGCGTGAGGGGGTGTGGGACAGAGGAAGGGCTACGGCAAGATGGAACCTGAGAACCTACACGGGGCTGTGTGACTGAGGACAAATCATGTCCCCAAGTTGTGCACATTATCTCTACACCCCCTTCTCACTCTAAAGAGACAAGTTTGGAGCATCCCTGTATCACTGGACATTGTTATAGAGGGGGGACGCTGATGGGACATGATGGGGACTGAGGCCACGCAGACCTGGATGACCCTGGTACCTCCCAGTATGACACAGAAATGGCACGTGTGTGCATGCTCGAGTGAATGTATGTATGTGTATGCACATGTGAATGTGTGTGTGAATATGCACACGTATGAGTGTGTACAGGTTTGTGTGTGAGTGCATGTGTGGCTGTGTGTGAGTGTGCACACGCACACGTGTGCACATGAGTGCAAATGTGTGTGCTGTGAGAGTGTATATACAAACGTGTGTGTGCATGGGTGAGTATGTGCATGCATGTACATGGGGCCCTGCCCCATCGTCCTCTGCAGCTGGTGGATCATGACCGCACGCCGATGGGAGGTCCAGCCTTAAGACCCAGCTAGGGGTCCCAGGGGAGGTGGGACCATGGGGACTTCGCAGAACCGAAGGAGCGAACTCAGAGAGCGGTGCGATGGCAGCGCGCAGCTGAAGACGTGCAGCAAGAAGAAAGCGAGCAGGAAGCCCCGGGCCGCCCCTTCACCGGCCAGCTGTGTGGTCTTCGGGAGGGCCCTTCCCTTCCGCGAGCCCCCTGTGCGTGGGCAGGGTGGCCGTGGCGCGCCGGCGCTTGCTGTGGGAGGCTGGGCTGCCTCAGGGCCTGCACACGGTCCACGCTGGCCCCGCTGGGCTTGCTAAGCCTCCGCTTCCTCAGAGGGGCACCTCCAGGCCGGACAAGCGGGGGGCAGCACCCAGGCCCCCCAGCAGCCCTGCCGCGAGCAAGGCTCCTCGAGAGAGATTTCGGCTCCGTGTGACGGTGCTGGGGGAAGATTTCCCGAGTCCTAGTGGCCTTTGAAAAGGCCTGATCAATACCTCAGAGAGGAACTGGATCTCGCTGATACGCTTTGGCCAGCCCGGAGCTGGGCCTTCGAAGTGGTGCCACCTCAGACCCATCGCCCGCTCCCAGGTTCCCCCAAGTCCAGCTTTTTCTCTCTGTGGAGCCGGTCACTCCAGCCACGTGTGCCTAGGAGCGCCGGAGACACCAAAGCTGTGCCACTCGTAAGGGAAGATCCGTGTATGCAGCGCCTCCTAGGACTGCCCACTAAGCCCAGGGAGAGACCCCAGCCAGGGCCTTCCCCAGGAGTCTCCGGATTCTCTTTCGTTGGGCCTTATGAAATCGTGTAGAACATTGGTTCGAGTCGGAAGCTTAGGGGACTGCACTGTTGCAATGGGCATCTGATTGTGTCAGTCCAGCATGTCTTCCTTGACAGAGCCATCTCTCCAGAGCGCATGCACTCCTCTTTGCTTTTGGGGGGGTGTCTTTCTTTCTTTCTCCTTCCTTCCTTCCTTCCTTCCTTCCTTCCTTCCTTCCTTCCTTCCTTCCTTTCTTTCTTTCTTTCTTTCTTTCTTTCTTCTTTCTTCTTTCTTTTTGAAGATTTAGTTACCTACTCTAGAAAGAGAGAGAGAGAGAGTGTGCATGAGTGGGGAGAGGGGCAGAGGGAGAAGGAGAGGGAGAGAATCCT